AAAGGTGGCGTACCACTCCTAACTTCATCCGAAGTTGTCACAATTTCACTCATTGTAACCAGACGTTGTGCACACACTGTAAAATCTACCTGAACTCGAACGCTCACTCCCGAAAGTAATTGGGAATCTTTGTTTATTTATTAGTAATCCCACTTCTGAACTGTCAGGACAAGCCGAAATTAGCAACTCACTTAATCTTAAATTACTTTAATAATACGTTAATAAATGAAATACATATATGTAAAAGTATAAACTGAATACTAGGAAGACTCAGAGTCGAATGCCTTCTCTATGGTTCACACCGGTATCCCGTACCGTAACATAAATAAACACAGGGCTAGACATAATATTTCACTATCTCAAGAGGCCCTACATTATGAATATTCAACACTAAAAATGTCTTTGGCTGAACCTCGGACCTCACTCAAGAAATGCTTAAATACGGAGTTTAGTCAGAAAGGAACAATAATCACATTTGCAAATAAATATTTCTTGAAGTAACCCGTCCAGAAAACCAATCAATTGTCTGACGAGATGTGTGACAAGTTGCACTATATTGTTGAAAAAAAAACATCGTCCTCAAGGACATAAGGTCCCAGTCGAAACGGTGACACTCTGAGGATAAAAATGTACCTCTTGAATCACTTGAGGATTTTTATCCATCCAAGCTCTGCAGTTATGTTTATTTACGAATCCATTGAGCCAGAAATGCGCTTCATCGGAAGAAATTATTTTTCCTCCTTAATGTAGATCGAGTTCCAACTACTCTGGAGCCCAGTTGGCGAAAGTTCGACGCAGATGCTCATCACCTGGCTTCAGTTCTTGAGTAATTTGTCAAGTCATCTATTTTGTTACAAAATCATCTACAAAAAATAAAGAATAACTCTTTTATTTAGGGCTTACTTTCAATGTTACAGGGAAAAATATGTCGAAAAACGGGTAAAGTTCAACAGTATACTAACGTGATATGAACGTGAAAAGCATACTAGGGCAGCGGCTCAGACATGTCTTGGTTGACCCGCTTTACACGATATTTTACTACAAGATGGTTGTGGAAAAGTATCAGTAACTTTTAACATATCTGCCAATTTTGCTTGAAGCAAAAATTTAAATTTTTCGAAAACTAAAGCTTCATAAAAAATTACGGTAAGTTGTAAACCAATGAAACTTAACATGTACGAGTTTTAAAAACCGCTAAATTACCAGATTTTCCTCAAGAATTACTAATATGATTTCACGAAAAAATAACACTTCAAAAAAAAATCGCCGCAGGCCCTAATTTTTTTTTCGTAGGGATTTGTGAATAGAGAATTTGATTTTCTATAATATGGTGCTAAAAAATACAGGATGTTCCATTTATTTAAAAAGTGTTGTGGATTTAAAATTTTCACAATGTAACGTAAAAATGGGATACTTAGTAACTATAATTTTCTTCAGGTAATTTTGATAGTGGAAGGTGGTGCATTCATTGCGGTGGTGTGTTCATTGTTTTTCCGAAAAGCAAGTGAAAGCTTCCAGGACGAAGAAAGATATAAAGAATTTTCGAAACGCCTGCATCTGCCAAAATTTTTATATAATGTTGACAACTTTTCTAATAATTTTTTTTTTAGCTCTTACCCCTTGATCTTGAAAAACCCATATATAAAAAATTCGGGCAAGTTGACCAACATTGCGATTTAAAGGCCCATTTAATTGGCCTAATATGGCCAAATTGCGAAAATCTCATCGACGTATTTCCACCAAATCGTTTATTCAAAAAGTTTCTTAATTTTAACTTGTTCTATTAATCTTACTTTCAGCACGATGTCTTGCTTGGCAACATTCTTGTTAAACTTAGTAGGCGTGGTGACGGCCTTGTTGGCCATAACTTACGCCTATTTCAAATGGACCTACCAATATTGGAAGAACAGGAATGTGCCTTATATCGAACCCACAATACCATTCGGTAACACGGGCAACCCACTGACCGAACCTCTGGGTGAAGCTATTGCTGAGCTGTACAGAAAAGCGAAAGCTAAAGGTGCGTAGTGACACATCACTAATTATAGCATTAATAATATAATTAATTCATTTTGATGTAAATAGGCAATACAATTAAAATTAAATTCTGTCAATATTAAAACACAACTTTCGGAAACACTATGTACAGCCACTTACTGATACTGGTATTTTGCTATTGCTACTGCTACTGCTACTGCTACCACTACTGCTACTGCTACTACTACTACAGCAACAGCAGCAGCACGAACAACAATAGCAATAGCAACAGCTACAGCAGTACCAACAGCAGCCACAACAACAACTACAACATAAGCAGTAGCAGCAGCAGCACCGACAACATGATTAACAACAACAACAACAACAACAACAACAGAATAACAATAACGGGATCAGCAACGACAACAACTAAAGCAGTAGCAGCAGCAGTAATAACAACAACGGGATCAACAGCAACATTTACATTAACATCGACAACAACAGGACCAGCAGCAGCAGCAACAGCAAAAGCTGCAATAACAAGAACAGGAGCAACTTCAGTCGATAGTATGCGTAAGAAGGATACGAAGCATTCTACCGAGTTCGCAAGGAATACTCTGACTCTATAGATTAAAAAGGCCTGCTGTAGTTGTTGCTACTGTTGTTGCTTCTGCTGCAGTAGTAGTACTAATAGTAATAGTTGTTGTTGTTTATATTGCCACTGCTGCTGTCGTCATCGTTATTGCCGTTATTGATCTAGCTGCTGTTGCTACTGCTTCTGTTATTGTCGTTGTTGTTGTTGTTGTTGTTGTTGTTGTTGTTGTTGTTGTTGTTGTTGTTGTTGTTGTTGTTGTTGTTGTTGTTGCCGTTGTTCTTATTGCTGATGCCGTTGCTGTTGCTGTCGGTGCTTCTCTAGCTGCTGTTATTGTTGTTGTTATTATTGTTGATGTTGTCGGTGCTGCTGCTGCTACTGCTTCAGTTGTTGTTGTTGTTGTTGCTGCTCCTGTTGCTGTTGTTGATGTTAATGTTAATGTTGCCCTTTTCTAAATGGTATGTTGGTCAGTTTTCTTGAAGCTGCCTTATAGGATAAGCCAACATGAAACTAAAAAGAAAGTAAACAAAAGCTGAGTATAATATTGTCATACCAATTTACGTTCATTCCCGAAGTGTCACTTTATCTTTATTTATTAGATGCCTGATATTCAGGCTTTTGGTAAGCTTATTATAAAGTACCTATTAGAATAAATAATGGTGGGATTACTGATTGTTTTAAAGGTACCAATATTTTTGTAAAAGTCATATCTCAACTTTCTTTAATTTATCTTTAACTTAACACATAATATGTTCTAATTAGGTTGGAAATATTGCGGAATGTATATATCTCTGTCCCCTAACTTATTGATAGTGGATCTGGACTTGGTAAAGAACATTCTGACGAAGGATTTTCAACACTTTATGGACAGGGGAACTTACACGAACGAGAAAGATGACCCTGTTGGTAAGACAGACCTCTATTGAAAATATTTGTTAAACTATGTGGTAAACAATCATTTTTGCAGGTTGCCACCTATTCTCTCTTAGTGGCTCAAGATGGAAGAACCTCAGGGCTAAATTGTCGCCCACTTTCACTTCTGGCAAGCTAAAAGCGATGTTTCAAACTCTGGTGGACTGTGGTTTGGTTCTTGAAGACTACATCGAGAGTAACGTCACTCCGAAGGAACCTGTAGATATCAAGGATCTCCTAGGTATGTAATAACAATTAAAACAATTAAAAAAAATCAGCTACTCCGAAAACATGTCAATAACAGAGTTTCATAAAAAGTCGGACCCCTTCTTTTGTTTTTTCTATCTGCGTTATTAAATAAAAATTGTTGCTTTTGATGAGTTCAATATGATTAAAATTTTGACAATTACCGCTTGCCTTTTGTTTTCAGGTTGCTTCTCCACCGACGTCATAGGGTCCTGCGCATTCGGCCTCGACTGTAACAGCTTCAAGGACCCAGACTCCGCTTTCAGACGTTTCGGATTGAAGGCCTTCAGCATCAGTGGTCTGGGAGTTATCAGGTTGTTGTTCTGTCAGAGTTTTCCGGGGCTAGCGCGGGCTTTGAGGATGCGCCAAGTTTCGGCTGACATAGCAGAGTTCTTCAGCAACGTGGTGAGAGACACGGTGTCGTATCGCGAGAAGAACAACGTGGTTAGGAAGGATTTCATGCAGTTGCTTATGGAGATCAGGAATAAGAAGGATGGACAGAAGACTGACCACGACGGTAAGTTACAAGAGTTAGAATTTAACTAAAACAATGAATACAACATTTTTAAAAGTTGAAACACGTTTTCAGAAAAAGTAGTAAACAAGTTATTGTTTTTGGGGAATCATTGACCAAATGATCTTATATAGAGGTCGTCATTGCGATGTAGATTTCCTACTTCTACGCCTTATTTAGGCACCGAAGTATCGAAATCTTTGTACCCCAAGAATTTTTCTGTAATGCTTCTTATATGAACAAAGTTTTCAACGTAAAAATATATTAGCCTTCATCCTAACATAAACAAGGATCAGTTTTATCACTGCTGTCTTTATTTGCCATTCCAATAGTATTTACTTACCTTTATGTGATATTTTAGTTCCTGGCGACGGCAATACTTTGACAATGGACGAAATGATCGCTCAGAGTTTCGTATTCTTCATAGCAGGCTTTGAAACCAGCTCCACCACCATGACCTTCGCCCTATTCGAGTTGGCTACGCATCCAGAGATCCAGGACAGACTCAGGGACGAAATCAATGAAGTTTTGGCCAAGCACGAAGGCAAGGTCACGTATGACTCGCTGAGTGAGATGAAGTACCTTGGACAAGTTATAGATGGTATGTTTGGATACATTCGGTTAGAAGAAATAAGATATAGGCAATTTAGTCCAGGCAACCAAGAGTTTCCCTTCTGAATTCTTTAGGATAGAACCGATTGAAGTGAAACTTGGACTGTAAGTAGAAATTAGCTCAAGAAACAAAAGTTATATAGTGCGGATGAGCGCTTTTGCCCAGGGGGTGGAAGCCCTTCTAGGGGGTCAAAAATAAAATATTAAAAATAACTCCAGGAATCGATAAAGCAATCAATTTTAAGCAAAAAGTATCCTATCAACATTTTTCGATAAGTCAATATTTTCTGAGTTATTGGTGATTGAAAATGTACATTTTTTATTAAAAAAAAGACGTTTTTCAGTAGCTTTTCTCGAATAACTCGGAAATTAGTCGTTCTATGAAAAAAAAAAACATCCCAAAGAAAATGAATCTTATAGAAAAAGAAAAAAAACGTGGCTTTAAGTCATTAATGTAAAAATTAACTTATGTTAATGATCAAATGATCATTAATGATGATGAGTTATGAGTTACTCAATGATGAGTTATGATCAAAATAAATTGTTAATTCGTTTTTTCGGTAAAAAAATCAGTACAAAAACTGATGAATTTTTCAGGAGACTTAAAATTAAAGGTAATCCTTCTACAATTTATATTTTTTATTATATGCTAACTATATATTATACAAGTTTAAGCGATTTAGAATGCATATTTTTTTAATTCCAAAAAAATAACATATTTTTAAAAATAACTTTAAAAATAAAAAAGATACGAAAAATATTCAAGAGTTCAAAAGTTTAGATTTTTTTTCACAGAATATTTTGTTTTTTTTTATTTGTGTAGGATGAAAATGAATAGAGATGTCGTAGAAGTTTGCAGTTGAGGGCGAAGGTCATGTTTTCTAACCCTTTAACCTCAAAAATCTATCTATCCGACCACATGGCATCACGTTGTGCGCCATGTCCCGGATTGAAATATGTTGTTTGTCGCTCTTCTGTCATGACCCCACGTTGAGCGCCATTACGTGAATTTTGCTCTTTCATCTCCCCACAGCATAAGGTGGGGGTCGTAGACCCTCAAAATGGGTTCGGAAGGATCATACCGACCTGGGTCTATTTTCACCCTTTGTTCCTTTTTTTGTAGCTCGAATTTTTTTGAGTTCACTTTGTATATCACTGGTGTGTCCGATATCCTAGTCTCTGAAAATCAGTATCTATGCACTGTTTAGATGCTTGTGCAATAAAGAAAATGCAGTGGCTTCAACGTGAATTGTTTTTGACTGTCAAGTACAAACTCTGGCCAGGCACTGATGTCTTGGTTAAACAACTGCAAAATCCAGAGCTGACATTCGATCGCCATCGGAGTGGATTCCGGTAGTCTGCCTGTTGTATGGTTCGAATTGGGCCATTCATGCTTCTTTGACAGAAATGTTGCTGATATTTGAAACATAGGCGAATTTGACAGCCTCACATATTACCATCCAATTTTTTAAGTAGTTGCTTATCACAGATACTTTTTTACTTTCTATTAAATCAATACAATTCTGCAAATAAACGTATTTTCCCAAATTCGGATTGCTGGCATAAAAATTTCACAAAACTTTGAACTCGATTTGATTAAATCTCAAATATTCCTGACCAAGGCTACGGTTTCAGAGACCCTGAGGGTCCATTCGCCAGCAAGGATTCTACAGCGGATCTGCGTCAGCGACTATAAGGTACCCGGTGAGGATTTCGTCATAGAGAAAGGCACCCATTTGACCATATCCATAAGAGGTATACATTACGATGAAGAATACTGGAAGAATCCGAAAGAGTTTGATCCGGAGAGGTTCAGCGATGAGAAGAGGAAGAACATGAACCAGTTCACTCACTTGCCTTTTGGTGAAGGGCCTAGGATTTGTATTGGTGAGTGGTGACTTTTACTTGGTTGTTATTGTATGAGAAAGGGATCTAGATACGAACAGTTTTAGTGGGGGTCATATTTTTACAAAGACTTCCTTTGACCTTTAGAAACATATATTAGTAGTTTATTTTTTTTTTTAATTTTGTAGCGAAAACTAATTTTTTTAATCCTTTTTTTTTGGTAATTTTCTTACCCCGGCACTAGACGAGCTAATGAAACTTCAAACTATGACGCACTTACATGACATGCACGATTGGGAATTGGGCTGTGCATTGTTGTCAAATATTATTTTTAAATGAAAAGTTATTAAAGTTTGGCACGCTACTTTTGTTGAGTGGTTGTTCCATACGAGCTCTACCATCTCACAAAAACTAAAGTTTAATTCTTTTAAATAAGACAAACTATGAAAGAGTATTGAATCAGCTATCAGCAAACTCAAGCAATAATCAATAATGATAAACGCTATACACAAAAATAAATAAATAATCTGTTTACTCACCTGATTTTTATAACACAATACTTAAGATTTTGTGGCAAATCATTCTGACAAACATTTCGTTATTCGGTACTTATAAGTCGGAGTAATCTGTCTGATATCGTTTATTTTGCTCCTGACAAAAAGTAGGTTATAAACATATCAACTCTTTCTTGATTTTTTGCCGCTTTTGAACAAGCAGCATCCTAAATTACAAATTTCTTTGCACCAAAAAGTAATTTGAGTTTCAAACTAACTCTATTTTATAGAAAATTTGCGTTAGAATGGAGGAAAGTCTGTTATTTGTGCATTAGTTTATATTTAAACAAACTGTGTAATAAAATCTACGAAAATGTATTGCTGGCTGCCTAATTGCTATAGAGCCCTCGTAAATAGGTATTATAAAAGTTGTCATCTATTTGGATAATGTACGACAATTTATACTGATTTAATTGATTCATTTTTCAGGGGAAAGATTCGGTCTGATGCAAGTGAAAGTGGGTCTGACCTGCCTGTTGAGGAAGTTCAGGGTGAAACTGGATAAGAAAACCACACTACCTCTAAAGACGTCTACCAAATCCATTGTCAATTCTGTCGAGGGGGGTATCTGGTTGAATTTGGAAAGGGTGTAGTGGGTTTTTTATAAATTGATGGTAGTAATATAGTATAAGTACTCATAAATAATGTAACTCTAATATATAATAAAGTAGTATTGATTTGTGAGTTGTGAGATTAATTGTACAGGTAAACAGGTCTGTTGATAACGATTTCACAGGCACCCAAAAAAATCCAAACACAAAATACCCACATACCATTTCCAAAGGAAGGAAATTTAATTTTTCTCCGAAATTCATCGGCAAGTCATGAATTTTGACTCGTGTTCAGCGCCCCAAATTCCTCCGGAAATGATACATGCGTCTCTTCAGTTTGCACTTCAATAGCGTATAAGCTCTTGAGAAAACTTTCTTGAATATTGTCATGATTCACACTTTACCAATTCAATAAAAATCTCGATAAAGACACATTGATACATCTTACAAAAAAAATCGATAAAAAACGAAACAGCACAAATATCTCCAATACCGTTAGAGATAGGTATAGGGAACCTATATACAGTTTGAAAGAGTTTTAAATTTCCTAACTTCCAAAGTTAAAATATACTGGGTGTCCCATTTAAAATAACCAAGTTATTGCTGTTTAAAGTTGAGAGAAGTATTCAACAGTTTTTTGAACACCCTGTACAATACTAAGTGACGACAATTATAATAATTTATAACTTCAAGGATCTAAAATACACTCTCCAAAACTGCTTCCTTAAAATTATTTTTTATTGCTAATATTAAATTTCTACGAAAGCCTGCATTTTTACTAAAATTGAAATATCTCACAAACAATAAGTCCTAGGTATGCCGAACCTTTAATAAAGTTCACCTATTTTTTTATGTTGTTTTCAAAAATGCAGTAAAATACAGGGTGTTTCATTTAAAAATACATCACTTTTTCTGGACACCCTGTATATTTCAAAATATTTTTAAAATGTAGCCGTAATCAACCTACACGTACCCACCTAAACAGGTTTCTATAACATTTGCCGCTTGGTCCCTAGCGACCGAAGCGTTACTGGTGGCCCACCCTGTATATCCTTGAACTCGAAATTGACTGTTTTGGTGCATAAGTCCAATATGACGTCCATAACAAAATCAAAAGTTATTTATGAAGACATAACGACCTAGGAGGCCTAGAAGATATTTCAATCATGCAATAGATGGAGCATGTCGATTTTTTTATGCATACCGATTTCCATTACTCTACTTTCAATAATAAAACAGGTACGGAAGAAGAAAGAAAAGAAGGTTTCAGTTTTCTCGGTGCAACTCATTTCAAACTTCATTTTATAATCCGAAACGGCACTTTCTTGTATGGTGTACAACATAAAAGTGATCGCCCTGTATAGTAATGTGTTTTTTGCATTTTGTATTTATCTACTTTCAGTGTGAGATTTTTGTCTAGGCAAAACTATTTTTATCACATTAAATAAGGAAAAACAATGATAATTTACATTTGAATACTCCTTGAACATTTGGGACAGATAAGTAATTTTTGGGGAAGAGCGTTGTGTCATCAGTAACATCGTAAATAATGCAAATCTACTGTGACAATTAGCACATTCACGATGATTGTCGTATTATAAAAGTTGTTTTTATACATATATACAGCGGACTACTTCGGTTCTCAGTAGAAATAGTACTGATAAACAAGTGTCGACTGTAATTTTTCCTTTAAACAGTAGAAACAAAATAACTCATCGACCTAGGTAGGAGATAAATATTTGTTTATTTAATTTTTTTTGTTTATTGGTTATTATTTATCCACCTGTGCAAATATTGGAAAGTGCCAAAAAGATCAGTGAAACGTTATTTTTACACAAAAATGTTTGCATAAACCTTTGATAAAAAAGTAAACAAAAAAAATAATAACAAATATACATCACTGTAGCACTCAGTTCAGTGTCGAAAAATCAATCGTTATCAAAACTAGGAGTGAGGTTTGTTTTTTAATTAATTTGGCGGTCTAAATTTTTTTTATGCTCCACACAGCCAGAAATATTATATTTATTTTATTATTACTTAATTTTTCTCTTAATATTTATAAATAACAATCCCACGAAGTACGAAGTAATTTTATACACAGCTTCAGCATGCCCTTTTTAGGGAATGATTTCTTCATGACGAAAATTTTCGAACAGTATTAGCGAAATAAAAAGTGAATATATGGGTTGTCGGTCGCGTCGATTTGTTATTAATATTATCCAGAGATATCATACATATCTTCACCAAATAGTATGTTTTTTTAAAAATACAAATAACATTACATTACATGAAATGTAAACACATTTATTTGTTCAACAAATATTTATTTTGGCGATAACGATGGCCTAACAATCATGTCTAAATAAGTTTCGATAATTTTACATAAATATTTTGCCTGTGTATTACGGTTAGAATTAATGGAACTAATTACTATTAATATATCATATTTACGATTTGTCAGAAAATTTTGACGGATGTAAGCATTTCGAAAATCCCTTGTATCTTCCTTCGTTCTGGAAGCTTTCACATGCTTTTCGCAACACACAAAGAACATAAGATGCACTACCTTCCACTATCAAAATTAACCTGAAGAAAATTATACCCAGAGAGCCATTTTTTACGTTAAATTTTTAAAATTAGAAGCGACAGAACTGTTTAAATTCAAATGGAACACTGTATTTTTTGCACCATATTATAGAAAGTCAAATTCTATTTTTACCGGTATAGGGATTACATTTTCGATTTTCTCAGGTATTTGCGATTTTCTTGCATACGTACTTAAGAATATTAAGTTAAAAGTATTATCAAATGTGCCTTGAATGGCAAATATTGATATAGGTCAGGAAACAGAACTGGAAAATGACCATTTCGCGACTTTTTGTTTCGGCAAGCTGAATTAATCACTACAGATGCTAAATATTATGTACAATAACATATTAGTTTCCACAGTCATAAAAGTGGGGGGAAGATTGTTTACAGAGCGGTTAATTGTATAATTTTTACGTAAATTCACGTTTTTCGCTTATAACTTTTTTCCGTTCATTTCCACGAGAAAATGGTATAGTATTTTTTTCGTCTTCAAAAGACCTACAAAACTAGCCCTCGAGCGTAAAAAAATATTGATTAGATCAAAAGTTATAAACAGAAGAAGTTTATTTATGAATTTTGAAGTAANCAATAAGTCCTAGGTATGCCGAACATTTAATAAAGTTCACCTATTTTTTTATGTTGTTTTCAAAAATGCAGTAAAATACAGGGTGTTTCATTTAAAAATACATAACTTTTTTCTGGACACCCTGTATATTTCAAAATATTTTTAAAATGTAGCCGTAATCAACCTACACGTACCCACCTAAACAGGTTTCTATAACATTTGCCGCTTGGTCCCTAGCGACCGAAGCGTTACTGGTGGCCCACCCTGTATATCCTTGAACTCAAAATTGACTGTTTTGGTGCATAAGTCCAATGTGACGTCCATAACAAAATCAAAAGTTATTTATGAAGACATAACGACCTAGGAGGCCTAGAAGATATTTCAATCATGCAATAGATGGAGCATGTCGATTTTTTTATGCATACCGATTTCCATTACTCTACTTTCAATAATAAAACAGGTACGGAAGAAGAAAGAAAAGAAGGTTTCAGTTTTCTCGGTGCAACTCATTTCAAACTTCATTTTATAATCCGAAACGGCACTTTCTTGTATGGTGTACAACATAAAAGTGATCGCCCTGTATAGTAATGTGTTTTTTGCATTTTGTATTTATCTACTTTCAGTGTGAGATTTTTGTCTAGGCAAAACTATTTTTATCACATTAAATAAGGAAAAACAATGATAATTTACATTTGAATACTCCTTGAACATTTGGGACAGATAAGTAATTTTTGGGGAAGAGCGTTGTGTCATCAGTAACATCGTAAATAATGCAAATCTACTGTGACAATTAGCACATTCACGATGATTGTCGTATTATAAAAGTTGTTTTTATACATATATACAGCGGACTACTTCGGTTCTCAGTAGAAATAGTACTGATAAACAAGTGTCGACTGTAATTTTTCCTTTAAACAGTAGAAACAAAATAACTCATCGACCTAGGTAGGAGATAAATATTTGTTTATTTAATTTTTTTTGTTTATTGGTTATTATTTATCCACCTGTGCAAATATTGGAAAGTGCCAAAAAGATCAGTGAAACGTTATTTTTACACAAAAATGTTTGCATAAACCTTTGATAAAAAAGTAAACAAAAAAAATAATAACAAATATACATCACTGTAGCACTCAGTTCAGTGTCGAAAAATCAATCGTTATCAAAACTAGGAGTGAGGTTTGTTTTTTAATTAATTTGACAGTCTAAATTTTTTTTATGCTCCACACAGCCAGAAATATTATCTTTATTTTATTATTACTTAATTTTTCTCTTAATATTTATAAATAACAATCCCACGAAGTACGAAGTAATTTTATACACAGCTTCAGCATGCCCTTTTTAGGGAATGATTTCTTCATGACGAAAATTTTCGAACAGTATTAGCGAAATAAAAAATGAATATAGGGGTTGTCGATCGCGTCGATTTATTATTAGTATTATCCAGACAACTCGTACGTATCTTCACCAAATAATATGTATTTTTTATTAAAATATACATAATATTACATTACATGAAATGTAAACACATTTTTTTGCTCAACAAATATTTTGGCGATAACGATGATGACCCCACAATCATGTCCAAATAAGTTTTGATAATTTCACATAAATATTTTGTCTGTGTAATACGATTAGAATTAATGGAACTAACTATTAATATTATGATGTTTACGAATTGTCAGAAAATAATTTTAACGGATGTAAGTGTTTCGAAAATCCCTTGTATCTTCCTTCGTTCTGGAAGCTTTCACATGCTTTTCGCAACACACAAAGAACATAAGATGTACTACCTTCCACTATCAAAATTAACCTGAAGAAAATTATACCCAGAGAGCCATTTTTTACGTTAAATTTTTAAAATTAGAAGCGACAGAACTGTTTAAATTCAAATGGAACACTGTATTTTTTGCACCATATTATAGAAAGTCAAATTCCATTTTTACCGGTATAGGGATTACATTTTCGATTTTCTCAGGTATTTGCGATTTTCTTGCATACGTACTTAAGAATATTAAGTTAAAAGTATTATCAAATGTGCCTTGAATGGCAAATATTGATATAGGTCAGGAAAAAAGAACTGGAAAATGATCATTTCGCGACTTTTTGTTTCGGCAAGCTGAATTAATCACTATAGATGCTAAATATTATGTACAATAACATATTAGTTTCCACAGTCATAAAAGTGGGGGGAAGATTGTTTACAGAGCGGTTAATTGTATAATTTTTACGTAAATTCACGTTTTTCGCTTATAACTTTTTTCCGTTCATTTCCACGAGAAAATGGTATAGTATTTTTTTCGTCTTCAAAAGACCTACAAAACTAGCCCTCGAGCGTAAAAAAATATTGATTAGATCAAAAGTTATAAACAGAAGAAGTTTATTTATGAATTTTGAATTAAACATTTATAAACTGCGTTATTATTACCAGAACGTTTTGGCATCGCATCCTCTCATTTCTTATCACTGTCTAATAACTCACACGAAATCTGGAATCGGTAAGTTGAATAGTTTACAAGTTAT